GCTTTTTGCCTAAAGCATCAGTGGTTTTAGCTTGCGCAAAGACGAGATCTTTCAAGGAGGGTTGGTTACAGAAATTACTGTTATTGTTACCTCCTTGATAGAATAGGCGTGGCTGGTTCCACCACTGACCTCATTGTGGATGATACTCGTTGTTGTTGTTGCCCATGTACATCGCCTCTTCACGGGTTTCTAGGCAATCAATCCCAGAGTGGCCTGTGCTGCCACAGACTGTTGGTATTTCTTACGATCACGGATAGAATCCGCAAGCGCACGGATATACCGATGTAGCACTTCCCCTACGAAGTATTCCAAGGGTATCGAATCCAAGGGAACGTGTGTGTTTATCTCCTCGTCAGGTTCATCCGAGGACACAAAGCTAATATGGGCAGAGGGTAGAGAGGATTTCCTAATGAGAAACAGTGTCTAGGGAAAGCTTAACTTTAATCCTAACACAATACTTCAGGCACTGGCAACTCGCTGTTCCCAGATGTCGCTCTACTATGTACCTGGATAGGGGGCACTGAAGTGCTCTTGAGGGCTGTCACCACCTCTACACCCACCTCAAACGTACCGTGGGATACGCAGCAACCCTGGAGAGTAATTACCCAGACACCGCGTCCTTCAAACACTAAAGCAATCACTACAAATAAATGGACTATAGGGAACAATGATCCCGTATGCTAATTAGGAACTAACCAAGAAGTAATTCTCACTAAGAAAATCTTAATTACTCATAATGATATTTCTATTAAAGCAGAGTAATAAACAAGATACAAAAGTAAGAGGAGATTACCGACAACTCCGGGATTCCTCCGATTCCTTCTAGCTTACTCTCTCCCTATTCTAATATACAATAAAGTGCACTAGAGCCTCTTGTAATTCATCTCATGCTTTGGTGTGTGTGAATGAGGGAGAGGAGAGGGGTATTTATAGGTGGAGAGTTGCTTAGAGAGAGTGGAGATGCTCCAAGCATCATATGAGCATATTCCTTCTAGCTTCATCTCCTCTTGACAAGTGTCCTCTCTATGACAGTTTCCACCGGTAGAAACGGCCACAACCATCATTGGGATGAGGAGTACAACCGTCATACCGAATATGGGCTGGACTGGGCCAGCTAGGGGTTCGGCCGAACCCTGGTTGGCTCCCCTGGCCCACATCTTTCTTCAGGATGCTGACATGTGGGCTCCACTTCATGATGCTCCATGTTTTGGCTCCAAATGATTGCACATTTTATATGTTGTAGCTCAAAACCATGTGAGTCCATCAGCACGGAATATATTTCCATTCTTTATCCTCATCCTCTCCCAACGTTGGTGGTTGATCACCTGCATACAAATATACACCAACACTCGTGGAAATTGTTATAAATAAATCCTACCACTATGTTGGATGTTTCACATTTATGGTTTTCTGCAAGTATTGACGGTGTTATTTTGGCACTTAACAACCGTCAACAAAACTCTCCACACTTAGCTCATTACTCGTCCCGAGTAAAGGTTAAGGATTAATGTGGAATAAAATTTCCCAAGATACAATACAAGTACACAAATTATTCTAAGTCATACCTGTACCTATGAACCTTTGCCCTATCTAACTTACCATCTTGGGAAATTGATGAATGGAACGGTCATGATTCAAGTCCTTCTTTTTCCTCCTATCAATCTGTTAGGGTTTTCATTTATTTTCGCAAAGTAGCTTTACTCCTCAAATGACCTTCTCTCAGATCACTCATGTGGTTTGATTTGTGGATCCTCACCATGCATGTTTGCCGAATTGTCCCTATTCTACTAGGTTGTATAGGTGGAGCTCGGTAGGGATCAATCGGGGCATACCTGCATCACATATATAGCAAAGCCAAGATACCGGACCCAAGGAGATAGCAAGTCATACTCTCTGATCAAGAATGTGCATGTGTGTGATCTGTGTATGGGTATGGAGAATTGTGTGGATGGAAAAAGGAAAATAGAAGATAACAACTCCTTTGATATATCTCCTCCTCCAATTTTCTCTCTTTGGAAATTTGAGAGAGTGCATGGCTATCTTTTTTTCTTCCCTTTTTTTTCATCATGCCCCATACTTTGTATGAGCAGATTTTTTTATTCATTTTTTTCTCTTTTGTTTATCAATGCTCCATACTTGTATGAGCAAGACTTTTTTTCCTTCTTTTGCATAGCCATGCCTCTCTCTATCTCTGTTTTTTTTTCTTTGAAAGAATTTTGGAGAAAAAGGCATAAATGACATGGAGTATTTATTTTGTGGATAATGGGTAAAATAAATGATGGATGAGGGATGCTACCTTCCAGTGTAGAAGTTTAGCATAGTGTGTGTATATGGAGTGTACGTGATCTTGATCATGAAAGTATGAAAAGCATCTCACACGGGTCACAATAATTTGACAAAGCTCAATGTAATGCAAGCAGCCTAAACATATATCAGGATTTTGCAATGAGAATCATATATGGCCTTTGTAGGTAATAATATAGTCAGTGAGGAGTATTGCTCTAAAAGAATTTTTTAATTTTCGCAAAGACAAAATCCCAAGTATCATGACAGTTGGACAAGAATTTCTTTTGTCATAACCATATCACATATATCAATTACTTATATTAGCAAGGTTCCCTATAATGGATGTTTGTTCACAAGTGACAAGTGTTGGCAAAGAATAAAAAGTATACATGATTAATCATAGGAAAATTGTATTCAGTTTCTTTTTATTTGTTGAGAGTTAATGCTTTCAATTTTCATTTGGACTTAAACTAAATTGTATTCAAATTTTCTGCCAAAGTTTAACTCACAAACAAGGGAGGATAAGGAAGGAGACGCGCAAACCTGACCACACGGCGAACGATGACAGAACTGAGCCAGGCATGGGTCAAATGAACACTTGGTTCGACCAACCCAACCAAGACTTGGTTCTGACTGCTAAGTTTTGTGCGCGGCCGTGGGCGGGTGTTCAACATATTGTCATGTTGAGTCGATGCTGTTGCACGTCAGGAGTTCCGAAAAGACTCCCCCACACTTGTTTTGTACCTTGTCTTTATTCAACAAAATGATGGAAAGCAAAATGGGCTTCCACCGGGGTAAAATACCGGTGAGCCAAATTTTATTCAAGTAATTCTAGGCGCATGAAGTGCCTAAAATTACTTTTATTTTATTTCACTTTTATTTTGTTTTTATTTATATTTATATTTTATATTTTTTTATCATTTTTTATGGCAGCAATAGAGGTGATGGGTAACCTAGCAGGGTGGACATATGTGACGCAATGATACACAGGGTGTTTCGAATTCTTACTAGATAGGACTTACCAAGCTTTGATTCGGATGCAAGAATGCAACACAACTTTGCATTTGCTCTGCCTGGTTCCCTGAGCATCTGTCTTCTCATAGTCCAAGGAGCGTGGTATGAATGTTGAGATTATTATACACTTCCCCTTAGTTGTCTTTTTATTTCCTGCAGAAGGTCAGTGGACAACAAATACCGGAGGGACCACAAAAAGTTGAAAAGATTTTATCATAGCCTCAAGATTAGTTGTTCACATTCATGCTAAAAAGGAATTGGATTGAAAACTTAATGAGCATGGATCCCATAAATTTGCCATAATTTTATTTTTGTCATTATTTTTACTTTTTACTCGAGAGAAAAATGTTTTTTTTTCCGAGAGACATTTCTTTTATTCTTGAAAACAATTTTTATCAAACTTTTATTTAAGAAAAACTCATATAGGGCTGAGATAAAGTTACATAACATAGCAAAGGAGCATTTGACAATAGGTCACGGCAGCTAAGGCGGGAGTAGACCTTGCAAAGCAGGGCGAACCGGGCTTCCATGGCGCCATCGACGGTGACCTTGGGCTTCTTGTTCGGCGCGATCGCCCTGCGCCGCCATCGGAGAGCTTTCGCCGACTCAGACCCGGCCTCGAAGGGGATGGAGTGGTAAAACCACTTCGACATCCAGTGGCGAGCCAACTTGAACATGGCGGCGTTGACCGGCCAAAGATCAGAGTGCTCGGGGCGAACATTGAAGTTCACGCTCCCGAACGCTGTCTTCTTCGTCCCTGCGGGAGTGACCACCGTCTTCGAGTTTACGTTGCGTAAAAAATGGTGCCGTAAAAAATGGTTCGAACCCAGCGGTCCGGCACGCCCAGTCGAAGATGGCGATTCGGACGAGAGCCGATGGGCTTAGTTGAGGGAGCTCCACCTAAAAAAGGCGAAGGATCTCCGAAAACAACACGTTGCACGGAAACCGAAGGCCGTCTCGAAGAACACGGCGAAGACCACCGTCCGGCTATCGCCGGGCTTCGGCACAACAGCCTTTCCTGGGGGAGGCCTGCTTCTCCGCCAGCACGCCGGAGGTGACCAGCTTTGCCAACTCATCCTCGTCCACAAGCGAAGCCCCGAGATAGGCGGTGGTGTCGTCATCAATCCTGCCGGGATCAGGGCCCGTCACGGAAGCTGGGTTCGGCTTGCGAGGAGCCATGGTGAAAAGTGTGGGCCGTGACGAAAAGAGGAACAGTCGAAAGGTACTAGTGACTCAAGAGGACCGTGAAGTGAGAGGGCGGAAAAGAGAGAGCTCGCGGTGAAAATGACGGGGGTGCGGCGGTGAAAAGGGGGGGATATATAACCCACCCAAGCGTCAATTCGCCTTCCCACCCAATCGTAAGCCGCCATGTGTCACGAGGGTAGGCAAAATGGTAAATTCCCATTCATTGAGCTACACAGTGCTAAGCCCATGAAGGGAAGCCTGTCACTGTTTATTGCGGCCCACGGAAAAAAATAAGGACGGCTTCGCCGTTTGCAAAAGGCGAAAGCTAGGAAAATTTACTAACCGTAAAAATACATATGCACAAAGTGTACACATTTCCTGTAGGACTGTATTATAGGTTTCGGCAGGAGCGTCGGTCGAAAGGGGGCGCCTCATACCATACCACATGGTTTGCACGGTCTCGGCCGAAGCTCCTAACTCACCCTTGCCCGTGAGGGGCTTGTTGGCAGTATGTCATGAGACCCTTCGACCAGACCTGCCGAAACCGTGCAACCAGCGAGGACTATGAAGCAAAGATGGCGAAGGCCGAAGAGTCGTGCTGGTATCCGGCAAGACCAAATGCGTCTTGGGCGAAGGGTGTATGCCGAAGGATGGAGACTTCGCAATAACAAGCCCAACTTTGAGGAGGCTCAAGGGGCCATCCCGGCCGCTCAGGCCTGTTCGCCAATCGGCCCATTAGAGGCCCATGTATCCAAATTACACTGTATACCCAAGCAAACGTCCCTTTCATAAGGGCAACCATGTAAATTCCCCTGTAAAGCCTAAACCCTAAAGGGGTGAACCTGTAATAGGATTATAAATAGTCCTCTAGGGACATGTAAAGGGGGATCCCAAAGAAAAATCTTAAATTAATACATTTACTGTTTCCAACACTGTCGGTGACATGGGGCCGGGGGTATCGTGACTAGAGGCTTGGGTAGCCGCGGTCACCCTCGTGGCCTGACCCCCTCGGGGGGGTCGGGCTCGAAGGTGACGTGGCCACCCCTCCCTCTGTCTCCCCGAGGGGTCGGGCCGCTCCCGTTTCGGCCCCGAGGGCTGGGGTGCCCCGACCCCCTGTGGTTTTGGCGCCACGTGTGTGGGTTAGGTGAGCACAGCGGGCTCACCTAACCGCATTTATAGCAGGTTGGACGAGCGCGCCACGCCGCGTTTAATGCGGCGCAGCGCACGCTTATCCGGTCCGTGACCGGTCGCGGTGAGTGACCGGTCACAGACAGGTCAAGATCGCGGGTTAGGTGGCAACAGGCGGCCTGTCACACGCCTCGCCCCGTCCCGTCGGAATGATGAGAGCTTCCTGGCTCTCGTCCCTAGCCGGAGCCGGCATGCCAACTCCAGGAGTGGGTATGTCAGTCCCGGTCAGATTCATTCCAGGCTTCAGCGCAAGCATGGCAAGGAAGTCGCTGGCCATTAAATGAAGGTTGAAATGGGCGTCCCCGGGAAAAGCGGGCGAGCGGGGCAGGAGGCGTGTGCTCTGCTTGTCAGATGTCACTTCCGGCTGTAGACTAGCCCTCATTGTAAAAAGCATGTTTCCTTTCTTAGGCAGCGAGAGGCCCATGTGGTGACCCCTGACCAAATAAAAAAGGAGGCCCAGGCCTAAGGAGAGGGGAAGAGAAAAAGAAAAGAAGAAGAAGAAAAAAGGAGAAGAGGGAGGGCCTGAACTCTCCCTGGCTCTCCGGCTCTCGGTATTCCTTCACTCACAGATCCACCAAAACACAGGAGTAGGGTATTACGCTTCTCAGCGGCCCGAACCTGTCTACGTCGCCTGTGTCTTGTGCACTTTCTCGCTCGCTGACGTTCCTCAGATCGAGGGCGAAGAATCTCACTTAGCGCCCCCGGCCGAACCGGCAAAGGGGGGCCTGCGCGGTCTCCCGGTGAGGAGCCCCACGCTCCGTCAAACACTGTTGAGTAACCACGTCCTTCGACGTACGCAGTTATCGCTTCGACAACACTCCATTAAGGAAAGAAATAAAAAAGAAGAAATAAAAACAAAAATACGAGGATGACCTAGACTCGAATAAATTAGCAACAGTTCCCTAGCAACGACGCCAGAAATGCTTGTTGGAATTTCTTACAACCATAGATAAATCCGAAGCGCACGGAATACCACTGTAGCACTTTACATTCGGTGTCATGCCCTGAAGTTTCCCCGTTCTTCTTTCTTTAAAAGTTGGTTGAATAAATCGTCCGAAGAAATTGTTCTAATTAACCTAGAGTTGAATCCCTAATTAATAAATGCAATTAATAGTCAGAAATAGCGTGGTGGAATTTTTCTTGAGTTCCCCATGTCCTAATGTATTAACAAGATTTTTAGTGGAATTTTCACAGCCCTATAAATAATTTTAACCAATTAAAATTCATTAACCGCTGTCACAACCTGAATTTTCGTATTAGGATTTATAAATTATTTAATAAATTATTAATAGAATTTATATTAAATGTTCATTAATTTACAAGTGAAGTTAAATGTGGGAAATAAAATTTCCTAAATATAAAGCATGGCTGGATTTATTTTTTATTAAATTCTCCATGATTAATTATACTCTCTGGAATTTTCTCGAATTTTTCAGAGCTCAAGTATTAATTTTAATAATACAAAGAATATTTCAGTAATTATTTAATTAATAAATTAATCATTAAATGGTCTGGTTTCAATATTATTAAATACTTAGAGTGTCCAAGTATGTTCAAGATTTTTCTTTTAATTATTTGAGCATTGGAAGTATTTTTAACAATTGAAAGATCATCTCATTGGTTAATTTATTTGGAAAAGTAATAAGAATTTTCCCCTCAGCTTGGGCCGAATTCAGCTCATTCTCTCCCTTCCTCTCAGACGCAGAAAAGTCTGTTTTTCGTCCCTCTCGCTACAGTGCTCCTTCTTCTACCTCTGGACAGCGCCCGAGCTCTCCAGCCTGTGCACAGCTGCCGCCGATATCCTTCCAAATCCGACCTCCCCGTTGCTCCTCTTTCCAAATTAGTTGCGGGAATGGGATCCTCTCAATCTCCTCTTCCTTTTCCCCAAGAAATCACTAAAAGTTTCTATGGAAATCTTTTCCAATTTCGCGGTTCAATCTTTCCTTACTCCGGCGAGAACCCTAGACTTTCCCGACTTTTCCCGTCGATTTGGGCCCGGACCCGAGCTCCCGTGCCTATATAAAGGACCCACTAGTCGTCCTATACCTATCCTCTCAAGTCCCTTCTTCCGCCGCCGCCGGAATCGCTCTCCCCACGCTCTCCTTCTCTCTCCAAGCGCCGGCGCCGCTCCAGCCGCACCGTTCGTCGTCGTCTGTCGTCGCTTTCGGTCGCCGCTGCCGCCGTTGGATTCGCAAGAAGGAGAGGAAGACCGGCCTCCACTTCCCCGAAGACGAAGACCTCTGGAAGTACCTCGCCGACAAGAATCCAAGCTTCGCCGCCTCCGGCCGCCGCTGCAGCAGCCGTGCGCCGTCTCCTAGGCCGTCGCCCTCCTGCGCCGCCACCTCCATCGGCTCCGCAAGGTCGAGCTCTACCCCGTCTACCGGTTCCCCTCCGCCAAGTCTCGCTGGAAGTCGCTGTCACCGTGAAGGCCGAGTTTGCCGCCTCGGTTTGATCTCCGGCCGAGCCTCCTCGCTGTTGCGGTCGTCGCCGGTTCACCCCGAGGCCGTCGTCGGCATCGCAGCACCAAGCCGAAGGCCGTCCACCCCTCCGTTGTCGCCGAAGGTCGCCAAAAACACCGTCGCCACCATGGATAGTATCTCGCCGCCGTCCCGATCTCGTCGCCGGCCATCTTCTGTCACTGTTCGTCGCTGCGTAAGTGTTGGTAAGCATCGCCGTTGCCTCCTCTTCCTCCTGGTGCCCTTCGTTTGCATTAATGTGCCCCGTGGTTCGCCGGCAACCGCCGCTCCCATGACGTTCACCGGTGTAGATATTTTGTCCCTAGGGCCTTAATCCAATCTAATCTAATCCGTTGTTTGTCTAGCGTCAACGACCCTCCCTCTCCGATCGCTTTGGTTCGGTGAGACTTCTATCCGTGTCCCCTCGGGTTAGGTTTCAATCCCTCGGTCATGTCGCCGCCGCTGTTGCTCTAACCCTAGCGCAGCCGCTGCCGCGTCACTTGCCGGCTGCCCTGTGCACCGCCGCTGCCGCCAGCACCTTGTTGCCGCCGCGTCGCCGTTTAGCCGCTGTACGTCGTCGCTGCGCTAGCCGCCTAGCCATCGATGTGCCACTCCCTGCTACAGCCGTGCTGCTGCTGCTCGAGCGTGCCAAGTCGCTGCCGTCCCGCTACCGTAGTCACCGTTTGCCGTCGCTGCTGTGCCGTGTCGCAGTCGTGTGCCGCTTTAGCCGTAGCCCGGTAGCCCAGTTGTAAAGCCGTAGGTGCATCCCTAGGTTCCTACCGGCCTATCGTTTGTCGTACCGGGGCTTTACCGTGAATCGTTTCTAGCCCACCGGTTTAGCCATAGCCATTGTTGAGTCGTTCACTCGTTCGTTCGAATGAGGTGTTCCCCGTGCTTCATTCGTTCGTCCGTGTTGAGTCGTCCTTTAGGTTAGAGCCGTTCAGAGCCGCTGGTTCCGTTCGCCAGTTTCAGTTGATCTTTTGGGTGGTCCCGTGTCACGTAGAATTGACTCGTTGAGTCGATATCTCGTGAGGCTCGCTTGCCAGATCAATCTAAGCCATCCGATCTTGGTCGACTTGGTCAAGATTAATCTCAGCCATATAAATCCTTTCCTCTCTTTTCAATGGCATATTATTCATTTTACTATATGTCATCTACCAAATATAATCTAATATTTTCTGGAGGTTGTTTTAATCTTTTCCCTCAGTTATAAATCATTTGTAAATTGTTTAATTAATTTGGAATAGTCTTTTCTTTAATAGGTTTAATTGGAATTAAATCTTGTAAAATTCATAACTAATTCATATGAAATCGGAATGATGCCGTTTAAGTCTCTAAATTCATCTAAAATTATGATCTACATGTTTGTTTACTTTATATGTACTGTTTATTTGGTTTTTATTAGTCTTTTTCTTTGTTTTGCGTGTTAGCTTGTCGTTTCCGCCGTTGCAAAGGTTCGCGTGTGCATCGGAAGTATTCCAGAAGACTTATTAAAGACCGATTATTGCTAGGCAAGTCACACAGATCCCAAACACAATTCCTTTGAGCATGTTGATCCTATATTTAAAGTCTCTATTTATTTCAACTGTGCATTTATTTTCGAATGTCACCGGGTGGTGTGAACTTATTCCTTTGTTATGGTCAATTTGCATTGATTACCCTATTTCTTGATTACCTTGGGTTATTATAATTTGACTAGTTGAGCTTTATATATTGGTTCAGCTAGATGTTAGACATAATTGCTTAGCCATTCTTAGAAACATTAGTACACGATTGGGATAACTAATGTTTTACTATTACTTAATGATGGATATTTAATGATTAGCTCACGATGGTCAATCGTGATTGGTTAATTAATTAATATGCTAACTAAAACTTGATAATGGTGGGTTGTGAGCACATGGTTTTGATGGTCATGCACATGACAATTAAGGACCGGTTCACAAGTTTCAGTTGTGAAACATTAACCGTGCCAACCACAAGCCAGCATGGGCAACGGCTTTATCTTTTGTATAGCATGGTTCATTGCGGAGCACCAGACTGAGAAGTGGCGGAGATAAGCCCACGGGGGTCGCTGGGGAGTCCATGCCTTGTTTATAAGGGGGTGATTATGATCCAGGAACGGTGCAATGCTTTGAGTTGTGTTGTGCGAAGGGTACTGTCACGATTTCCCCCTTTGCAGTGACGTGGTGGTACTTCAGGGCATGGTAACATGTGTGGAATCGTGTCTTGTGGGTACAGTGGTACACCTCTGGCCAGAGTAAAACTATTCGAATAGCCGTGCCCACGGTTATGGGCGGGTCTAACAATGTCTTTCATGATAGTCTCACACTTCTCACCATAATAGATGATGCTATAACTGGTAAAATTTGATTAGCTCCTGGTTTGGAATGGTATATTCCTGGTTTGGAGATAGATCTGTACAGCCGGGTATGGTTGTTTAGGTTTGGTTGGGCCTGTGCAGCATGGGTGTGATGTTCAGTGTTGATTAAAATTGATGATTAATTGCTCTACTATTTTACTTCTCTTAAATGTTTGCTAAATGCTGCTTTTGCAAATGAGCCTATTGTTAACAACCAAATTTGGTAATATCAACATCGGAGATGAAGATGAAATCGAAGCGGACTCGAAGATAAGGTTTTTTTCGGAAACAGAGTAAGAATCGGCTGGAGTCCGGATCGGCTACGACTGGGATTGGCTAAGTCTGAGTCAGTCTGGTTAAGTGATACAGCCGATTCCGATAATACGACCCATGTGCGACATTGGGTTCGAGTTGATGTGTTTCAAGATGATTGCCACGCATAGATAGAGTCCTGGGAAGGCAATTGTATCTATTAATTAGGATATTTTATGTAAATTCCTTAGAGATAAATGTGGGCAAAAGTCTGCCGCAAAGACTTGTGGTATCTTAGAGTTTGTTAGAGATAAGAGTCGTGTCCAATATGGACATATCTTGTATTTCTCGGGTATAAATAGACCCCGAGCCCTATGTAATGATGAACACACACGTTCAATACAATTTCGGCGCATCGCCACTCTTTTTGCTTTCGTTTTATTTCAACGAGTTATTGCTTTCGGGTTGAGCTGCATCGGTTTTGATGTTCAACAAGAGGTAAAACTTGTTATGGCGGCTTGTGTTCTCGAGATTAGTGCTTCCATCTTTATGATACTCTAATCTTGTTTATGTAGTCCGTCAAGTTATCATATATCTTACATAATCCTTGACAATATCGTCATTTAACCTACAATCGGCTAACATCTGCTACCAGAAGGCAGCCGATTAGGTTAAATAACGACATTGGCTTAGATTATATGAGATATCCACCACTCTATGAAACATCCAGCGGCTTGATCGTCTAGATATTGTTCTTCTTTTCATACTTAATGCTGTATCAGTTGAGTTTGATCTATTAAGTCGTGCTTAAAATTTCAATCTCTAGCCTGCCTACTGGTTGCCGATTAGGGTAGTATCGGAGTTTCAGCCGATCTTATCTGATCCAATTGCTTTTGTTCTACATGCTCAATTAACATGTTGGATCTGCCCTTCATGTTAAGATCTTGTTGCATTTAAGTATATTAGATTTCTGTTTAGTATATTCTCTTTGCTTTAATATCTTAATATAAAGTAGTATCGGAGTATTAGCCGATACACGCTAGATCTATCTGATCGGCTATGCTATGAATATATATATAATCTCATTATTAATATATATTTCGATGTAAGTGATTTATACTGTCTCGGCAAGGTGACCGATCTATCCCAATTACTTGATTCAAGTATACATCGATATAAGGATTATGTATCATTGATATTTACAGCCGATCGAGTAGATTTAGTTCTGATTTGTTTTCTTAACAATTGCCGATCGATTTACATATAACATCGGCTCAAAGATAAATGATATGTCATCGGCATTTAGCCGATCGGCTATCATTTATGGATTTAATTACGGTTTCTTTGTCTTTGTTTCTTGTTGATTGCAGGATCAAATCAACTGGCACGCTCATACATCCAAAGGCGAGTTTTGGACCTGCACTGGAGCTAAGCAGATCTCCCAGGCCTCGTGTTTTCTATCAACACCTATATTATGCCATTCTTTGGTATCCTTGTGCACTTGCATATTTGTTGTGTGCCTTGCTGAGTATGTCATATGCTCACCTTGCAATAATCAATCAAATCTCAGTTGAAGACAAGTCGCAAAGGAGAAGACGTTTGGCTTATACCCCAGTTGAGCTGCCTGTGAGAGTGGAGCCGGAGCTTCGCTAGACCGTAATTCCGCAGCAGTTTTCTTTTCTTTTGTAAGTATGTAACGTTATTATTATGATGAATCTGTATATTAAATTGTCAGTTTGTGTACCTCGGCTGATTCCTGGACGAGGATTTCATGCACAAATTAGTTCGGAAATTACTAGGGTATTTCCGGGCGTGACAACCGCAATATTTAATCCCAGGAGAATCCTTTCCCTTTTTCCCTTTTCTTTTCCTCCCTATTTCCTTTGTTGGGCCGTCGGCCCAACCTTCCTTCCTCCCGCGTCCTCTCTCCCTCCTTGACTAGTCCGGCCCATCACCCCACTCTCCTCTCTGGGACGCTGACAGGTGGGGCCCACCTGTCAGGTCGTCCCCTACCTCCAGTCGCCCACGCCCCGGCGCCAACCGCCACCGAAACCACCGCTCCTCATGCCGCCCACCTTCCCCGCCTCTCGCTCCCGCACCTTGCGCCCACGCCACCCACCTCCTCCACCTTCCCCGCATCTCCCCCGCGCGCGTGCCCGCAAGTGGTGGGGGACTTGAAATCCCCCAACACCCTCTCTCTCCCCACCTCCCCCACGTCGTCGCCGGCGCCAACCACGACCTCCCGGCCATGTTCTCCCCTCCCTCGCCTATAAAATCCCTCCCCGGAGTCCCCTCTTCCTTTTTCCGCGCTCGCCGCTCTCTCCCGTGCCTCCTATCGCGCCCGCGCCACTCGCCGCTAGCGCCGCCGCCTACCACCGCCTCCGGCCGTGCGCCGTCGCCGCTAGAGCCGCCGCCGCGCCAAGCCGCCGCCGCCGCTAGCTTCACCGCCGTGTGGGTCATCTCGGCCACCACCTCGCGTCGCCGGAACCCCATCGGAACCCCATCTCCCTCGCGAGCCGGTGAGCTATCCATTCCCCTCCATCTCCGGCCGGCGTTTAAAGCCGCCGTGGTCATCGTCTCCTCTCCTAACTCCTCTCCTCCCCTCCTCTAGGTGTCGCCGCCGCTCGTCCGCCCCTCCTCTCACCGGGTGGTCGTCGCCGCCTTCGTCTTCCACTCCGGCCGCCGTGTCGCCGGTGAGGCCTCTCCCCCCCCCCTTTCCTCCCCATCCCGCGAGCGCCGAGCCACGCTGCTACTCCGGCCATGCGCCGCTGCCTTTCGGCCGTCACCGCCGTCGGTGGCCGTGCCTCGCCACCGCCTCGCCTTGGTCGGCCGGTCGGCCTTGAGGCCAAGCCGAGCCCGGCCGGCGCCTCCACTCCCTCCACTTTGAGCCACCGCCCGTGGGGCCCACATGCCGGTGCCCTTTCCTCTCTCTTGAGTCGCTGACGTGCGGGGCCCACCTGTCGGCGCCCCCCTTGCTGACGTCAGCCCTGGGGATTTATTGCGCCATAATTAATTAAGGCCTTTTCTTTATTAGTAAAAACACAGATTATCTTCTAAAATTCATAAGTAATTCATCCGAGCTCCGTTTAAGTCCATTCAAGTCTCAATAAATTCATAAAAATCCCTAGAATCTATTAAAAATGGTTTTGTTCTCTGTTACAGTAGTCTTATAGCGTGTTTTTCTTTTGTGCTTTGTTTGTCGCGTAGATTTCGGCCGCTTCGTCGATCCGCGGTTTCTCGAAGACGTTGCTGTGGTCTCATCAGTGCGAGAGCAAGGCAAGTCATGTATTACATTTGATCGTATTGTACCCAATTTACAAATATCCCGCATTTCTATTAAATGTTGCATTCTTTTACAATATCATATGGGATGGGTCCTATTATTCAGCCATATATTGTTTACCTTATGCCATTGATAACTTGGGTTTCAAAATGATTAGATGTTGGTTTAGGAAATGCTTAGCCATGCTTAGTTCAACTAGTACACAAAGGGGGATCACATTATTACATAGACTTTGACTATTAGCATAGCTTTGGATTGGTTCCACCGCAATGGTGTTAGTTAATTAAAATACACTGAATGGTGGGCTGTGGGTGCATGGTTTCGCTGGTCGCACCCATGGCAGTTAAGGACCAGTTCACGGGAAACCCTGGGAGACTTACCGTGCTGACCACAAGAGGGAGTGGGTAACTGCTTGATCTGAAGTATAGCTCGACACTTTCCTAGGCACCGGTGGCGATGGTGGGCGTGATGGAGTTGGGTCGGCCGGGGTGTCCGGTTGTCTAGCTGCCGGATTCACCGCGGCGCAAGAGGGGACCGCCCACTGCCTTTTGAGGGGTGGGGGTGAAACCTTAGCGTGGTGTGAATGGTTAGGGGAGGGTTATGCGGAGGGTCTTGTCACGATTTCCCCCTTTGCAGTATCATGGTGATACTTCGGGGCATGGCGACATGTGTGGAATCATATCTTGTGGGTACAGTTGTACACCTCTGGCCAGAGTAAAACTATTCGAATA